TCTTAGACTTCCAGCTTCCAGAACTGTAAGAAATAAATTTCTGTTGTTTGCAAAATACCCAGGCTGTGGCATTTTGTTATAGCAGCCTTGATGGACTAAGACATACAACAACATGGATGAACCTTGAGGACATTATACTAAGTGAAATAAGCTAGTCACAAAAGGACAGACTTTGTATAATTTCACTTCTATGAGGTATCTAACATAGTCAAATTCAGGGGTAGAAAGCAGAATGACTGTTATCAAGGTCTGGGGTGGGGTACAAATGGGAGTTGTTTAATGGGTATAGAGTTTCAGTTCTGCAAGATGAAAAAGTTCTGGATATCTGTTTTACAACAACGAATACTTACTACTAAACTGTACACTTAAAAGATAGTAACTTTTACAATGTACGTTTTTATCAAACATTTTTTAATAAAAAATAAAATAAAAACATATTTTAAAAATCCAAATCTTTTTTTTTTTTTTTTTTTCCCCTGAATAAGGAGGGAGAAAAGAAATGAAAAGGGAGTAAATACTTTTCTTTAGGGCAGATGTGTGCATTTTCATTTCTGGTGCACTCCACACATACCAGTTCCACAGAGAGAGAACAAAGTTTAAACCTTGAACATGAGGACCCAGAGCTTTCAAAATCCAAATCAGACACCATAAAACCCATCAGAAAAGCCTAAGGTTGGGGATGTTTACCTTTAGGTTACTCATTACCTTGCTTATGGTAGGGATACTCCCAGGAAATAGCAAGAACAACCAGTCTACGCAATTTGGGTTCTTGATTACAAATAACTCAAATGGACATTAGCAACGTAACAAGAAAGGAATTTGTGGCAGTATAGTGGGAAGCTTTGAATCCACATTAAAGCTGAAGAACCAGTTTATAAGACAAGTTTCTATGTCTGGGTGGCCAAGAACACACCGAGGCCACACCACAGGATCAGTCCCATTAGGATACCTGCCATGGCTATGGCTATTCCTGACTCCAAGACCCCTGTCTAACTGGTCCTGTATTGCTGCATTATCCCCTCAATGTTCAAATTCTGGGGTGAGAAGAACTGACTAGACATGCCAGGGAGCTTCCATTCAGTGGGGCATTCTTCCCAACAAGCAGATTATTCAAATACTAAAGGGCAGAGAGAAGGAAACTGTCTACGTTGATTACCAAGTAGCTTAGCAGCTATTTATGTCTCCCAGTTTAAAATAAAGTAGTAAGTTTCCAGCCAATTCCAGGAAATAGGTGAATCTTCATGCTTACTGGATCCCATCACCTGCAATGTGGCAGGTTTCCACAAGTTATCCAACCAGGTAAGACCACTGATAAACTTTATCACTAGGTAAAGCAAGGTGCACAGAAGCAGGTAGGATGAATGAGACCATGGTTAGTTGCCCTCTAATGCTTTTGCTTTTGTCAAAGTCAAATTTACTTGACCGTGGTAAGAGCAGACACTGCCTTCAAAACTCCTGCTAGCACAAACTATAAAGACAGAGCGCATACCAGTGCTGTTCTGTCAACATCCCCACGGGACTAACATTGCTTAAGCAGAGAAGATGCCATTTATCCAGCACAGTGTAATCAATGTGTAAGCCTCTAGCCAGTTCCCAGTCTATCTGAAAAAATTTCCATAGACTGTAGGGCAAAGGTACACAGAGATGTAGAAAGTCATAAAGAAGTGAAAGCAAGGGTAAGGAATTAACTTCATTTCACATTACACTCTTTTATTCATTCAATACATTCCTGTATTCAAAGGGCTCTGAACACTTCTACTTTCACGATGATAGAGGAAAGATGTCTTTTCCTCCTTTATCTTGAAAAATCAACAAAACAAGAATTTTTTTAAAGAACCAGAAACACCATTTAAAAAAAAATAAAACTAAGAGACATCTATAGCTCTGAACCACAACATATGTAGGAAGTGAGGAGAGAAATGGTGAGGGGCATTAGAGAGCAGAGGATGGTCAAACCTCAGTGTCTGAACAAGCTGCGGGGGCTCCCCAGGAAACGTCAGGAACTGGAGGCATCAGCTATTGTGAAGGTGAGGTGAGTGGGCAAAGGCAGAAAACAGGGAGACTGTTTGAAAATCTACATAAGCAGCAATTAGATTCCCAGGGTGCTCACTCTCCCCAAAGGAACTAGAAGGTACACCATTAATAAATACAGCTTCTGGGAAGCAACAAACTTATAAACAGCAGCATGGAATAAACAGGAGCATGGAAGACAGAGTGGAGGTGAAAACAGATATGAAGGGAAACTGTGCATGGCAGAGAGTGAGACCCTCTAGCCCTCTCACCCTACAGGTCCAGAACTCCAGTAGCGAGGCTGATATCCCCAAGCAAGAGACTGAAGGGCAATTCTCTGGAAAAATTAAATTATCACCTGAGTAAAGACCTGCAGATTTTATTATCTGAATCTACAACAAGAATGTAATAGGCTACCCAGTCAACCTAGAGAGAAGTCCTCTGGGAAACAAGCCCACACACATATATAAGCACACACACAACTTCTAATTAATTAGCTTTCTAGTGCCTCACCTCTTAAACAAAAGACAAGGATCACCAGACATCTGAGGAAAGCCCACCACAGTTGAGAGAAAAGACCAAAATAAGTAAAGTGAAAAAAAAAAAGGCGGGGGTTGGGAATTAGTAGAACAGGGACTGGTAAGAGAAGAAAACCTCAAAGAAATCATATTTAGTATCTCCACTGAGCTAAAATCTGTACTCATCTTATAAAAGCACATTATTAAAAAGAAAAAATCAGAATGTAAGAAAGGAAGAAAAAGATTACATAAAAATTCAATGAAAAAATTCAAAGGTAAGTTGAAGAAATCTCCCAGAAAGTAGAATAAAAAGTTAAAGAAGACAATACAAAAGAAAAAGATAAGACTATTAGAAAATTGGTGTAATAAGTTCACATCTAAATTAATATGTATTCTATTTTTTTTTTAAGATTTTATTTCTTTAGGGGCACCTGGGTGGCTCAGTTGTTACATGTCTGCCTTCGGCTCAGGTCATGATCCCAGGGTCCTGGGATCGAGCCCCACATCGGGTTCCCTGCTCGGCAGGAAGCCTGCTTCTCCCTCTCCGACTCCCCCTACTTGTGTTCCCTCTCTCGCTGTGTCTTTCTGTGAAGCAAATAAATAAAATCTTTAAAAAAAAAAAAAAAAGATTTTATTTCTTTATTTGACAGAGAGAGACACAGTGAGAGAGGGAACACAAGTAGGGAGAGTGGGAGAGGGAGAAGCAGGCTCCCCGCAGAGCAGGGAGCCCGATGCGGGACTCGATCCCAGGACCCTGGGATCATGACCTGAGCCAAAGGCAGACATTTAACGACTGAGCCACCCAGGTGCCCAATATGTATTCTAGATAAAGAGAACAGAGTGAAAAAGCAGGGAGAACTTTTTCAAAGAAAATAATATAAAAACATATTTAATAATCATGCAATTCTTGGATAATAGGGACCTACTGAGCACTCAGCACAGTGAATGAAAAATAGATTACATTATGGTAATTCACCAAAAAATTTTAGGATACACATATGAATAAGAGACATTAAAAACCTGGAAAAAAGAAACTGGCAAAAACATACAAAAGATCAAGGAAAATGGCATTAGACTTCTCCATCGCAGCACTAGAAACCAGATGATAATGAAGCAAAACGATCAAAATTCTTTCCAACTTAGAATTCTATACCCAGCCGAATTACCACTCAACAAGACCAGAACAAAGAAATTCTCGTACCTGAGAAGTCTGAGGGACAGAAAACTGCTAAATTTTTGTTTTAAGTCTTCTAGCACTATCTGACTAATAGTTTTGCTTTGAACAGTACAGTTTATACACAGTTTCAACTATACCTCCTTTTGGTTTGCAGACACAAGAGTACATTTTCTAGGGTCTGTAATTGTGAATGGGATACACCTTCAGTTGCCACATACTCCCCTAATAAAATATGAGATCAACAATGTAAAATATTCCACAGTTAAAACAATAAGCTTTATTCTTAAAAAGTACTTTACAGTCACAAAATATCCTGGGAAGTAAGGCAGATATTATCATCCTTTGCTTAAAGATAAGAAAATCGATGCTTTAAGAGAGGTGACTTTACAAAGGTGTCAAAGCCAACATAAAGTGGTACAAGAACTCATATCTGAATCTAGTGCCATGTGCAGGATTCTCCTCTGACATGAATGCAAGAACTCTGTGCACAATCTTTATGGCTTTCCGTTTCAGCATCTCCTTCTCTCTTATGCACATGGAAACTGTTTCCTTTCAAGGTATCAAAAGCATTGTTATCCCTTTTCTCCACTCCAGTACAACCCAGCTATTTATTTCACCTTAAGCACTTCAGCACTATAGCCCCTTCCCCTTCTCCAGGCCATCCTTAAAGAACTGTAGTACAGGTACCAAAATAAACACACACTTAACACTTAGAGTATGACAAAGGGCAAATCCTAGCTACTCATTAGAAGTTTCTTGATTTTTTTTTTTCTTAAGCCAGTGAGAAGGAAAATAGATAATCAGACAAATGTGACTTCATCTTCTCGTATGCTACATACAGGAGGAAGGCACCTAATATATTTCAGAGGTTCATAATGATCCATCTGGCTCATTATCACAAAAGAAACAAAGTCTGGTGTATAATCAGCTATTAGTTTTTTATACTATAGAGAGGTGAAGATCCAAGAATAACTATCCCTTCCACTCTGCCCCCAAAATATATTAATCAAAAAATCTGCTTTAAAATTTAGAACACAATAAACACACACACACATACCCCTTCCCCTACCCACCACTTTCCCCAAACAAAGATACAGGAAGACTGACAGACATGTACGCACTCACATTCACACACCGTCTGTGTCGTTGTACCCACATCCCCTCTATTAAACTGTGAACCTGAGTGGCAGAGGGTAAAGAGGTCACAGTCCTCACTGAAAAAACCCAACGTCACTCTAGGTAACTGTGTTCTGAATCACCCAAAGAAATAGTGTGGTAACAATCTGGCTACTTACTCCACAGTATCGGTCACCATTAAATATCTGAGGCGGCAGAGGGTTGCCCTGAGCAGGCTTCTTTTCTGGGGGAATGTTTTTGTACATCCATTGTCTCTGTTCTTCTGACATTGTGATATCCACCTCCTCAAACTCTATCTTGTTGGCTTCCAGAAATCTAACCACATCCTGCTGCTTCTTCTTTATCTAAAGAGGGAAGACAAATAAAGAAGGAGAAATGCTCAACTGAAACAATATGTAGATATTTCCAAATTGAACTAGATTTGATTTCTCATTGTCAGAGGTCACTGATGCAAAAAAAAAAAAAAAAAAAAAAGAGAGAGAGAGAGAGAGATTTTCCAGGCACCATGCACCATTGACTACACTGGATATCCAGCAGAAGTCTAGGCAAATCCTGACATGATGATTTCTTCACCTAGACTCCCCAGAACTCCGGGGCACAAATTGGAAGGATCAGATTATGTATGGGGTGAGGGACTCAGTTCTCAGTAGGCCATATCCATTCTCCCTCCCACTTACAGAAGTTGACATTTATAGTCATGAAAGCTCCCTCTGCCAAAACCATTTGAAAACCATGTATAGCCCATCTGAGATGTCAACATTTCATTGATTCCTGGGAGCAGCAACATTTTTATTCCCTTCAGCAGTCTCTTTCAGATATTCCACAGCTGTAGCCACTGTCATGAAAGCATCCTTTCATCAATTCACAAGAGAAAAATGTTCTCTGCTTCTAAGGTGAGAGTAAACAAGCATCATCTTAGTTTGAACTCTATTTCTTAACCCTTTTTGTTCTTCTCACCTTCATGTTTCCTTCTTCAGTCACTAGGGGTCAGGTGTGCTCTTGAAGAGCTGCAAACACATCTGTACATTTTCAAAATCTTATCAATCTTATTTAAGGGTTCATATTAAATAATTCAGACAAGGTGACAATATTCAATATCTTAAACACAGCATGTAAAACATGGCTCAACAAAGTTCCTTTTTCTAAGTGATTCTGGGAAATGTACATAGAGAACAAACTTAAACGGTGAAGTAATTTTATAACTGGCAATGAAAAGAATCCTTTTGAGAGGTCAAGCCACCATTTTATAAAAATAAAGTGCTTGAAGAACAAACTTTCACATACTGACTGCCCCTACCAATTTCCTCCAACTTTCCCCCAAAAGCCTCAATGACATGTGCATCCGAGATGGAAATCCATTGCATGTCATGAGCACAGAGATTCTGATCACTGGATTGAAGTCTATGAATGACTAACAAGACTGCACAGTTAGTATGGACAGAAATGCAAAGCTAGCCAAATAGGACATCTTTACACTCAGTGATATCAGAAAACAAGGAAACTACTGTATGGTAGTTTGATGCATTATCTTGGTTTCTTGAATTAAGCTTTTTCTCATTTCCGAAAAAGTTAACCTTTTTCCCTCATTGGTACAAAATTCCGGAAATGTAGTTATATTATTCTGAAACTGTGGCTTGCAAAAAAAGTATTATTCATCCTACTTAATTTCCCTTTATAACCATATAAGGCAGATAAACAAAGTTGATGCTGAAGTCAAAAGTGGTCACCTATTTTGATCAAGGTCTTGGTATGTGTTCTTGTTAAGACAATCATGTCATTCTCCTATTTATTTAGTGGGTCCCCACTGCCCTTGGAAGACCACACACACATTTCTTAGCATAGCACAATGTCCTTCATGATCCAGTTCCTTTGACTATGAAAGCAATGTATCTGCATTTTTAAAAGTCTAGAAATTGTAAAAACAAGCGAACAAGAAGTTACCTACAATCCTCTCAAAATTTAATTAGAGGAAAGGGTTTGGATTTAACGTCCATATGTAGAACTTTACATATCCAACACATTTCAAATGTTCATGAGAGTGATCAAAAATGAAACTGACAGTCAAACCTGAGTTTTCCATATAATATATATACACATAATATCCATCCCACCTCTACATCTTCCCCAAAGTGTGAGTGCCTAAAAACTCATATGCTCTCAATACTAGGATACATCAAAGACACGTACACAACTTCTTTACTCCCCAGCCCCCTAGATCCCCCACCCCATACACACAGCATTTACTGCTGGACTATAATCCCCTACAGCTCAACTGGTCATTCCTTTCATAGGATCACACTCAACAAAAACAGCTGCATCTTGCCGCTTTCACTCAAAATATATACCCTGTGTCATTAAAAATTTTTCAAAAGCATGAATTTTAATATCTGCTTAGCAATCCATCATGTACATGTTTTTCGTTAACTACTTCTCAATTATTGGTATTTAGAATACTTGTAACTTTCACCACCAGAAGTATCATGTGGTGAACATCTTTATTTAGAAATCTTTAACTGTAACCTCAACACTATTTTAGACATAGCCCTATGAATGAAACTCAGATCAAAGGGTAGAGACATTTTTCAGGCTCCTGATGGACCCATGCTAAACTGCTTTTCAAAAAGTCCACGTCAATTTACGTTTCCATTAGCGATGTATGAAAGTATCCATGTCTCAACACCCTTCCCTCCTTACAGCCAATATTTGAAAGATGTATCACAGAATATTAAAATTCAAATGATGTGAGTGATGGATGTGTTAACTAACTGTGGTAATCATTTCACTATATATATATCATTGTGTTGTATACCTTACACTTATGCAATATTATATGTCAATTGTATCTCAATAAAACTGAGGGAGAGGGAAAGGAACAATGCTCAAGAAGCAAAGGATAGTTACTAACAAAGGTGATAACTGACAGTAGTATAAGGAGTAAAATGTAAATAATTCTATCTCTGGTTTAAAAGAGGAAAGCGGGGGAGACAGGACCAGGTTTACATTTCAAAAAGGTCACTTTAATACTGCACAACTGAAGAAAAAAAAAAGGAGTTCTGTATATACTGTTAACACTGCTATGAAAAGATCTCCAAGGTACATTAGTAAATGGGAAAAAAAAAATTAAGGAACAGAACTGTGCATAGACTAGGAACATTTCTTTAAAAATAGAGGAAATAAAGGAACACATTTGTATTTGCTTGTATTTATGTTAAAAAATGAACTCTTGAAAGTTACATAAAAAAATAACAGAAATAGCTGTCTAGGGGCTGGGGGAGTGGGAACTGGGCGACAGGGACAAAGTAGGAGCAAGAGGTTTCCCTCTCTGCATGTGTGAACTTGAAACGTTTTTGAACAGTGTGAATATGTCAATATTCAATAGATTAAATAGAGGAAAGTTATGTTGAGAAAGAGAGCTTCACACAGAAGGGAACAGGAGTATATGGCCATAGACATGTGGTGTTTTATATAAATCAGGTTTTCCAACAGGACCTGAAGCCCCAGGAGTCAGAGCATGTTGTTACTCACTGGCCTCCACGTTTACTCAAACTTGTAAGAAAAGCCAGATGATTAAAAAGAAATTTTTTCTTGGGACGCCTGGGTGGCTCAGTCGGTTGAGCGTCTGCCTTCGGCTCAGGTCATGATCCCAGGGTCCTGGGATCGAGTCCCGCATCGGGCTCCCTGCTCTGCGGGGAGCCTGCTTGTCCCTCTGCCTCTGTCTTTCATGAATAAATAAATAAAATCTTAAAAAAAAAAAAAAAAAGAAATTTTTTCTTAAAAAAGAGCTAAGGCCACAGAAAATTAACTAATACTACAGCGAATGATTTGAATAAACAAAGGGCAGAAATTTAACCCAGAGCAGGAAGTTTTCAAGTAGGTATCTGTGGCATTAGCATCAGGAAGGAAGACAAGTCACGAGCTGCCACAACCAGCTATTTTTAAGATCTGCTGGGGTGAACGTGGCCTGGAGCTGTGGGAGCCCAGGCTTACCTGGCAGGGAGACAGGCCAGCTCGGGCGGAAGGGACGGCTGGTTGGGTGGGTACCCAGGTAATAGAAAGGATTCCTATGTGGCAACAGGAAGCGGCCAAGGGCACTGCATGTGCCGGTACAAACCCAGAGTTCAAATAACAATAACATATACCACCGCTTCCTTGACACAAAGAGCTCTCTCCTCCCCACATTTCAACTATACTGAAGCAAAATGTACCCAACAGTCAATATCAAAAGACATGTGAGGAGCAAGTGGAAGAGAAGTAAACTGTGGGACAACAGTCACTGCCTTTACCCATGTCAATTCAGCCATGATGGAAGGACCTATAACTCAGGTGTTTTTTGTTTCTTTACACACCTAGAAGCCATGGCAGTTAATGCTAGTTTTTTACCCAGTAGCCAATCTCCCTTTCTTAATAACAGAAGGCTGGGTTTTGTTTGGAAAAGCGATGCGCTCTGCTACAAAACGTGTTTTACCCAGACTCCTCTGGAGCCGGGAGTCATCACATGACACGGTTCTGGCCCATAAGAGAGAAGGCAGATGTTCTCCGGAAGGCTCCCCTTAATGAATAAAAACACAAAGCCCATTATATCCTTCTCCCTCCTCTCTTGAAGAAACGCAGAAGTGGTGCCTGGAGGTGCAGAAACCATTTTGCAATTGTGAAAACAAACTCCATATGCTAAGGATGGTCAAGCAGAAAGACAGGAGCTTGGGTCCTTGATATTGTACAGCTGCCACACCAGTCTTGTGCGGCCCACTCTAAACCTTTCTGTATTAGACAAATTAACCCTTAATTGCTTAAGCCGCTCTACTGAGTTTTTCTATAGCTTTACCTGAAGAAAATTCTTAACTGCTACTTAAAATGTCTTCAGAAATACTATAGTATGATGGATTGAAAATAAAGCTATTATTGCATAGCAGAGCCTAGAAATAAAAGCTGTAAGACATAAATTTAAGTGAAATGAATATATGTCACTGAACAGATGAATTTTCATTACGACCACAAAAAAAAAAAAAAAAAAAAGCAGCAGCAGGAAAAAAAGGTGTTGGACCCAAAATAGATATCTACAAAAGCATGACAGTTGGATTTTATTATTCAAACATATACCATTACATATTATCCAAAGCAATTAAAAGGAACAGATACTCCAAAATCTCTTAGGCTAGATTATGGGAAGGCAAACTATGGCCCACAGGCTAAATCTAGCTCATAACAGTTTTTGTATAGCCCCCAGTCAAAAATGGGGTATTTTGAATTGGGGTTGAAAAAAAAATAAATAGTATTTCATGACAAGTAAAAATCATATGAAATACAAATCTCAGTGTCCGTAAATAAAGTTGTATTGGAAGACAGC